CAAGAGAGCTGCATATCAAGCCGGTTTCTGTTGGGGGCAAATGATGATTTGTATACCAGAGCTTCCTTCGCCAACTGAATGGGGTTGGGTTAAGAATGAAAATGGCTGGGGGATATATTGGACAACCCTCCCAGAGGAAACAGAGGCGTGTCGACAATTGATTACATGCGGATGCAAAAAGGGCTGCAGAGGGCAGTGCAAGTGTGTGAAAGCTGCACTCCAGTGTACAGCTTTGTGTTACTGTGGAGGGGAATGCACACAATAGATTACTCTAGGGAGTATGGATTACTGTTAAATTTGTACTCAGTCATGGGTAGCCATATCACTTGGCTCCAAATTTGTTTTTTTGTTTCAAGCAGAGACATTTTCCAGAGTGTTAAAATGACATTTGGTGTTAAATGACATTTTCTGTTCATTTTCGCAGCTTTTTCTGACTTTGGATAGTTAAAATTTAATTTTTGTGAATAATGAGAAAATCCAAAGTGTGCTGTATTGTAAAAATCATCATTGGTGTGCTTTTTCAAATTAAAAAAATATATCTATACTGCATCAATCTTGTGTTACGTACGAAACAAAAATGACCATTTTAAAAAATGGCCGCCATTTTGAAAAACGGCGGCCATTTTGGCTCTATCATAAATTCTGAATGTCCCTACATCCAAATATGTTCCTAGTAGATGGTTCTATAAGTGTCCCAAATTTCATGCTTGTATCACCAATAGCACAATCTTTTCACATATCTGCCGGGCTATATAAGACATGATCTATTGTAAATACAAAAAATGTATAAATAGGTTATGATAATTACATAATTTTTTAGATACATATATCGTTTAAAATAGTATGTTAGATGAATAATATAAGTAATTTAAAAAAGTTAATTAATTTAACAATCAAAATAAAACGAACAGTACATGTACATGTTTACCTTATATTTTATGAATATACATATCCATTGCTGTCTAAATGGGAGGTAACATACATTCGCTAAGTCCTTGGGTTCCCCTTCAGCAGCACTACTAGGGGACAGAAACCGTATAATAGCGGGAATTATTTTACTTTTTAAAATAAAAATAAATTCATTTCGTACATAGATATTACAGATATGAAGAAACATATATATATATGTATATACACCCACAAACACACATGCTAAAACAATTCACAGTGATTAAATAAACTTTCCAGTAATATCTATATTCAGTGCATAATTACAAAAAATAATCACTTTACATCAAAATACTGTAGATTTTTTTTAACATGATGTACTGTATAATATTATATTCAGTTTCTTCTAGATTTTTCTTTTTCTACAAAATATTTTGTATTTATATATTTTTAATACAGTAAGGAAATAAAATTGTTCAGAAAGTATGTTTTCTTTTTCTTTTTTTTATATTAAAAAACTAATAATAGCTTTACATTTAATTTTAATATTCAACACACAGTGGAAGCTATACCCAAAGTATTTTTAACATTTCTTCATTCAAAAAATAAGATGTTACATGTACAATAGAACAGATAGAACACATATCTGAGGTTTCTATTTTCCATTTGACCATTTATTATTTTTTTACCACAAAGTAAATTGTGTAATAATTTGTAATTAAATTCCGCAATATTTTATCTACACTACTTTAATCTTTTGCTGATCAATACAGTACCGACCGGACACAACCTAACAGAAAGCGAACCCGGAGCGGACCCCGGGTTCGCTCTCTGGGTCCGCTCAGGGTCCGCTAGGGCTGACCCCGAGCGAACCCGGAGCGCACCCAAAGCGAACCGTAGCGGACCCCGAGCGAACCAGAAGCGGACCCAGAGAGCGAACCCCAAATTCAGTAGCGGTCCCAGAGAGCGAACGCGGGTTCGGTATTTCTTTACAGAGCTGTCAATCAGGATTAGCGATTAACCAATCAGCGCATCAACCAATCAAAATAGCATATTGATCTGTCGATTGGGATATAAGATCGAACGTGTTGATTTAATTCAACATAAATCCAAACACTGTACATACAAGTAAAACGTGTGAATGTGCTGTGTTAATCTATTGTGATAATTAAAATATTATTTAATTTTATTTATTTTAATTCTCCGGGTTGTATTTTATATTTATATAATATTTAATTTCTTTTTTTATTAAAGCAATTAATTAAATAAATTGGGTAAATACATCAGTCAATGCATAAAAATGGAAATCAATTGATATTACAATTTTTACTGACAAAAAGCGGAGAAACGAAATATAGTTGGTCTTCGACAATTATTGTAAAATTTCATCATCTCAAGTTGAATTGGAAATTTATATAAACACTATTAAATAAAGAAAGAAATCCGAACCGCTATAAAGTACGTCTGGTTTATCGGGGTATACTCAGGTGAAGTGCGATTTACATAATTGAACAAATTAATTACGCTAATTAATCAGGACATTTAGTAAATCGTACATTGTTTCATTCTCTCAAAGTGCGTAACTATACTTGACAAAGAATAATCAGAGAAATATAATATAGAAGGGATATTTTAACATATGAATTATGATCTATTATAAATTTTGAAATGTTTTAGGACTAATTATTGGAAAAAAAAATAATTAATAAAGGCGTTAGCAATGCATAGTTATGTGGGTTGTTCGAAAGATGGTAACGCAAACTAACTGTAGAGTTACACTAAATTGAAAGAATAATCTTGTAAAGTATCATCAGGAATTGGGTCTAATTCACGTTCATTCTGGTGAAGTCATTCAGTTTGTTAATACCATTAGGGCGGATTGACTTCAATCTGTGCATCCAGAAGGAAGATTTTCATATACACGCATTTTTTTCATGCACAAGAAGATCAATAATTTTGATGTAAATTGTGAATAATTTAATGTAACACGTACATTGTGAAATCATAAATAAAATAATTAAATAATTAGAATTTTTTAAAGACATGTGTGTGTGCAATAGGGGGCATACATGTATATTAATATATTCTTATCGGGTCGGGAGAACAATTATTATTATTGCCTTTTTCTTTATTCTGATAAAAATCATTCTCGCTCCAAAATTTTGACCGTGAAAAAGCTCTAATATACAGTATAATTTTTTTTTTTTTAGAAAATGTCCGATAAATATTTATTACGAACTTTTAATGTGTAACTACTATAAATGAAATCTAAATATATCAGATGTACAAAAGGTTACATGTAATTTATAGATGCGATATCATAATTCACGTGTTTTGTAAACATTCATACTATGATTTAGCAAAACGTAAGGAGAAACAAATGTATTTTTAAACTATATAAAGCATGAATTTAAAAGGTATTCAGTTTAAATTTCTTTCGTCAGTTTCACTTGTACACCATTCGATACACTGAAAATCAATTCAAAACTCTTTTCTTCCTCTTCTTTTTTGTTTTCTCGTTATAACTTAAGAAAAATAAACGCCTTATAACTCGCTGTTAAATTAGTTTGAATTTCTCGGGATAGAGAAATCAAGGAAATCAATTATTCATGTACATGTAAATCTACGTCGAATAAACAGTTTAATTTTAGAAAATTTATCAATGTTCTCCATAATGTCACTGTTTACATGTACAGTGTACATGTCCGCATCGTCGCATAAACAACAATGATCGATCCACAATACCATTACTGTATTGGATTATACAAGTTTATCTTTTAAAAAGATAGGTGAGCTAGCGCCGTAGCAATTTTTAAACACAGAAAGGAAGATCCGTGATCAAGTGATTTATTTTGCTGAATTCTTTAATTTTTATCGAGGCTGGAGAGTGATAAAGTTATTATTGTTTTGTGAGGCGTATTTTATAGACTTAAAGGTTAAGAAATAGGGGGGGTGCCCTATTGGAGTTTTGGCGCAACGGAACATATATGACCTTTACTGGTGAGGGGGACTCTATATAATATGATGAAGATGCCGATTGAGACATTGCATGTATGAGCTGATTTAAAGAGAATTTCTTGGCAATGTGGCAAAGAAAATACATGGGAGCTGAAAAGAATATAGAAAATAACTCAAAGTGTATGTCGTGTAAAGAGTCCAGAGAGTTTGGAACGCATGTGAAGTACCTTATTAATTGGTCCTTTGGGTCATCTTTGTCAAGATCTGTTAGGTTAAAAGCACAGGCTTTTGGGTCGCTTGAAAAAAAATGTGTTTTTCAACATCTCGATATCTTTTTTCTAAGCGATCTAAAGACCTGTGGTTAAAAACCATACACATCAGAATTTTTAAAACTCAAATAGTGGATTTATTCGTTATTTTTAGTGTAAATTCTTGCTTCTGTTTCTGGAATTTGTAAGATTGGCTGAATTGACCAATCAGAAATTAGAATCTATCTTTGGTTGTGCTTAGATGTGAAATAAAAAAAAGAAAGAAAAAGAAAACCTCCCTTGTCTTTGTTTAGAACAATCAGATAATGATTCGGTCTTTTCCGTCAGCAAAAAAAAAAAGAATTTGAAATATTATAAATATGAAGTTATCTTTAAAGTGTAAGCTACACAATAAATAAACAGTTATTTCATGCTACAACATGATACAACGAAATTGTTATCGTACGGTCTATCTGTAGTAGTTTTTCACAGTTTTCCCAGAATGCACGACCATGGTGGCCGAGCATGCGTATTCAAGGAATTTGGACTAACGTAGTTGCTAGTGCTCGAGAGCGCTAGCAACAAGGGGCGGGGCTTACTGGCGGTGAGATTAAAGCGGGGTCTGCTTCACGCATCAGTGCGTAAAGCGGTCCCAGCAAGCGAACACCGGGTTCGCTCTAGCGGACCCAGAGCTGACCCCGAGCTAACGCGGAGCGAACCCGGAGCGCACCCAAAGCGCACCCGGAGCGGTCCCAAAATTTCTGAAAGCGAACCCGAAGCGGACCCCGAGCGAACCCGTGAAGCGAACCCGGGGTCCGCTCCGGGTTCGCTCTGGTGTTAGGTTGTGTCCGGTCGGTACTGTAGATTTCTACAATAAGACATCTTGATTATTTTTTGATTAATATAATTGAATATTTCTCCAAGTATTTTTTTTTCATCGCTTTATTTACATCTGTGCACCACTGAGTATAAACTTGATTAATTAGAGAACCAATGAAAATGATAGCAAAGTTTCGTTATATGTTTTTCACACTTTCTTATGGGTCGTTTCACTTAATATTAAAGTGTCAAAAGTTCTACTATTCTATGGGAGATGGTAGTTGTTTGAGGAAATTTTCGTAGTATGGTTCTGCCTCTTCATCAAGGTAGATTTCACTTGATGACTCCCTTAAAATATAGATCTTCTTTATAAAATTAACTTTCTAATTTCTTGAAATTCAATATATACGAAGCCACACATCTACATTATACTTCATTTTCAAAATGTCCCTTTTTCAGTGCAAAAAAGTAATGTTTCAACTTAATCTTTCGTTTATACTTGTCTATTTTGTTTTAATTCATAATAAAATTATACCAATTTGAAACTCAATCAGACTTTCTGCATTGTCCATTTCTTCATACATCATTTAGGTATTGATTGAAAATAATAAAATGAACTACTGTTCACAAACTTTTATACGCAAGCGAGAGTTTTTACAAGGTTCGCGAGAGCCTCGTCATCGCGAAAATTTCTCGCAGCGAATCAGTCCTTTAAGTCTCTGTGTCTATTCATGAAACAACACATCCAAGAAAGACTTGGTCGCAAAAATGAATCATAAAATTAATAATAAAAACTAAATTTTACCGTGGATAGTCCGCGTTGTCATACTCAAATTCTGGATCTGGTGACCAGTCTTGGGCATTATCATCCTCAGCCAAAGGAAAAGCTTCCTTCCGCCGTTCGTATTCCTCCAACTCCTCTGCTTCTTGTAGTAAGGCGTCGAAGGCTGGATTGTAAAAGTAACAGAAAAAATGAATTGGATAGTATATTCTTTATTTAGAATATTTTTTTCTAAATATATGAAAACACAGCTGATATCTGAAAATATGTGTGGTTTTCAATATTCTGATTTGTTTCAGATGCTTTTATAATAATTATGTATAACATATTATTTAATTTTAGATGTTTAAACTTCACTATAAAATTGATGCCAACCAAAGTATGTATATTCATACAGTTCGTATAAGTAAAATTCTTTATCAATAAGGGATTCAGTTTTGTATTCCACAATTTGTTAAGTTAAGCTCCTTGTATTAAAACCAAACGAGTAAAGAGTGAAATTCGTCCTAAATGGTTGACACAAGAAATAAACAATGCTAGACACTTACGTGAATCTTACCACAAAGAAGGAGATATGGAGAACTATCGACTCTATCGAAACAAAGTTAGACTTCTTATAGACAAATCAAAATCTTCTTACTATAAAACAGCGATTGAACAGAGTTCAAATCTCAAAGAAATGTGGAACTGTCTTAATCAATTAACATGTAATTCAAAGAACATAACTCCATCTCATGTATTTTCTGATGGGGAAATTGTTGATAATCTACAAGATATTGCAAATACTTTTAATACCCACTTCACGGATGTCTCTTACAAGCTTCTTTTGGAAATGCCAAAACATGATTATGATCCTAATATATTATGTAATTTTGTTAGGTCTAAGCTTGGTGAGGAAACCTTCTTTACTTTTCATCAAATTGAGGAAACTGAAGTTTTTAACATGTTAAATTCTCTAAATGTCAATAAATCAGCTGGCATTGTCTTTATTGGGCCGCGTCTTTTGAAAGTCGCATCTAAATATATATGTAAACCTATAACTCATCTTGTTAATGCTAGCATAGTAAGTGGTATTTTCCCGACAAATTTAAAACAAGCCAAAGTAACACCTATTTTTAAGAAAGGTGACAAAGCTGGCCCGAATAATTATCGTCCTATTTCTATTCTACCAACTGTATCTAAATTGATAGAAAAACATGTAGCTAAGCTAATACAAAATTTCACTAATGAATTCGATCTTCTAACACAATCCCAGTCGGAATTTAGGGCACTCCATTCTTGTCAAACTTCCCTTACAAGACTAACAGAAAGTTGGCTTAATGCAATGGATCGTGGTGAACTAATTGGAATTACATTTATAGATTTTAGTAAAGCATTTGATTTGGTGAATCATGACATTCTTCTACAGAAATCAATCCATTACAAATTTGACCAAACAGCTATAAAGTGGTTTAAATCATATCTTTACAATAGGACCCAGTGTGTTAAATTTGGAACATGTGTCTCCAATACTCTACCCGTCACAGCAGGAGTACCACAAGGGTCAATTTTAGGTCCACTTTTATTTTTATTGTACATAAACGACCTTCCTTTACATGTAAACAATTCAAATATTGATATGTTTGCTGATGATGTTACTTTGTACTCTAACAATCATAATGCAAAATGTTTAGAAAATACACTAAATTCAGATCTTTGTGAAATTGAGAAATGGTGTGCTCAAAATCAAATGGTATTAAATGTAGATAAAACGAAATGTATGTTAATGGGAACACAACAAAGAAAATCAAAACTAGAAAATCCAAATTTACAACTTTATGCCTCAGACAAAACAATTGAAATGGTTGAAACTGCAAAAATTCTTGGTGTACATATTGATGATAAGTTACAGTATGCGAATCATATTGATTCGGTTTGTAAAACTTTAAATTATGTTATTTACTCTTCGTAGGATTAAAAAATTTCTCCCTCTTCATACCAGGAAACTATATTACAATGCTTATATTTTACCATCTATTAACTATTGTTTGACTGTTTGGGGTAATGCCCCTAAGAAGGACATGGACAGACTATTTAAATTACAAAAAAGGGCAGCAAGGATTATTCTTGATGCAAGTCCTGATTCTTCATCTAAACCACTATTTGAGAAACTTGGATGGTTAACTATTTATGAGCTAGTTGATCTGTACAAATACATATTATTATGCAAAATTTTCAGTGGAATGACTCCCGAATATCTTCATAATTTATTTGAATTTCATTCTTCAACTTCCTATAACCTGCGATCTGAAACTAATTACGATCTTAAATTACCAAAATTTCATACAAACTTATTCAAGACCTCTTTTCAGTACTCAGGTGTACATCTATGGAATATACTTCCACAATACATTAGACTCTCTCAATCTTTACAAGCATTTAAACGTAATGTAGAAAATTACATTATCAGCTGTCGCTCAATTATTTGAGCATATGTTTATGATCGTCATATTTCTGTATTGTCATATTTCTGTACATGGACACTGTATTCATAATTTGTGATTGTATTTCCTATTATATATGATGAATTGTATCTTGTATCTTTTGTAATTGATGTATAGAGGGCCCTGGGGAAGAATAGTGCATGCACTAACCAGGTTACCTTCTTTAAGTTAAGTTTTATTATTATTATTATTATTATTACTCCTTTAAAAAATAAACATCGTCTTAGGTCTAGAACCTCTTCTTCATTACAAAAGAGCTCTAAAATATCTGAGACATAATCGTCCACCCTGCTTTTCTACTTTACGTTACTTGAAAACATTCAAAAATACAGAGCTTATTAAATAGATAACTAGTGCTTCAAAAGGACCGAATTTTTGAAAAAAACTGATCTTTGAAGGTGAGTCATTATTTGATGAATACTGTAAACAAGATTTACTTAGCTTGCAAGAATTTCTTTCGAAGTTGGCAAGAGCCCCATCATTGCGAATATTTCTCGCCGAGAACCGGTCTTCAAGTATCTCTTTCTTTTAACAATAAGTAAAAGGTTTGATCGCGAAAATTACCGATTGCTTACTAGTTTATTCCTGATAAATCGGGGAATGACGTCGTTGCGATTAAAAATTGGTTTACAGTATTCTGTGAAAGATTGCGCAAGACGATGAGCAAGACATGAAAAAGAAGATCCTGACCACTTATACCTTCGACAATGCAGAAATGAAACGATGATATTACATTATCAATATGATGTACTTGTCCCAGCTGACAGTGCAGACAACAGCATTGTCTTTGATTGTAGGGATCATCTTAACAGTATGTTGATAAGGAAAAATAAGATATGTATTAAGTACATTGTACTAATTAAGTTGAGAATATTTCAATTTCTTGTTATAAATTACCTTTAATCATATCTCTTTCCTCCTCAGAAACTGCTATTTCCGTGTCATCTTCTAAAACAGTTCATGATGAATTTATATAAAGCATATCTATCTACAGTTACACACTTAAAGAAACAATTTCATTTCTTACATATTGTGTGATAAAGCAATGTCTTTACGTGAAACATAACTTAAAACTCTAATTTTTTTTGGACACGATAAACTAACAAAAGTGCTAAAATTTTCCCTATGTACAGATTAATGCAAATTATACAAATCTATTTGATAAACTAGATTAACCTACCTTAACAACTACTGCGCTTTTTTATCAGGCAGATACTATGGAGTTGTGAACTTAAATAATCAATGAAGGCAAACAAGACATCTCAAAGTGTGTCACGTAATGTTGAACTTTAGTTTTTTTTTTTTTTTGAAAAGGAAAAGCTGAAACGGACTAGAGAAGGACTTGCTATCCAAGCAGCCTACATGATTTTTTTTTAAATTTATTTTTTTTATATCAAAAGCATAAAATTAACGATATTTGTTGCTCAATCCCCATAAAGGATTTCTGATTACATATTTGTCCTCTTGTCTAAGTTGTGGTGATTTTTAAACAATAATACCTATAATAAACATATCAAATTTATAAGAATGTTATTTTAATAGGGATGTCAACGAATATTCGAATATTCATTCGATGAGTTGATATTCGAATATTAATTCATGATTCGAATATTCTTTTTAAAGTATACAAGCATTAAAAAGAGAAAAAAAAACCTGGCAAGTTTTATTACAAATTGAATCAAGTTTGTACAAAGTTTAAAAAAAAAAACACTCCTCTTGGATTACCTAAAAGGTGTGAAGAGTGTATCTATTAAAGTAATTTATTTATTTGTTCACTTAATTAGTGGTACAATAGTGTCCAGTACTTATAATCAGCTTGTATTGTTGTAAGGACACAGTTTTACAGTATACACACGGACCCTTTGTTTATGTAAATATCATTAAAATCATTATCAGGAAATTAAAATTAGCAAAAAGTAATTGTTTTAAATATTTCACCGTTAGATAGTTGTTCTGCTAGATATAAGTTTGTAGGAGTTATCGATGTAGACTTTAGTAAGACATCCTAAAGAATCCTTTGAATTTTCAAAAAACAATCATTACATTTTGGATATATACTATTCAATAATTTAAAAAAAATGTATAATTGCAGTGCATTTACCGAACTCTACATGAGTGTTTTTATTCCAAAATAATGCCATAAAACCTATACTCCTTGACAGAAAACTGAAGATACATATATTTAATAATGCAAGATGTATTTTTTTATCGAATATTCGAATATATTCGAATACTTCTATCGAACATTCGAATATCAATTATTGACAATTTTGACATCCTTATATTTTAATAATGAAGCCTTCAAGTCTTACTATATATTCATATTGTTTAGTTTTTGTTACAAGATAATCATGATAATATGAGGCAATGTTAATATATATGACTATACAATGTCATATTTTTCTGATCAAACAAGCAACTTGGTGTATCACGTTATCTTCAGATAATGTTTTTTTATTTACCTTTTACCATATTCTCCTTTTCAGTGTCAGTTAAATTCTGTAAGAGTAAAAAGATTTATTTTGCATGAATGTACAAAGCAAGATATAACAATCTAATCAACCTTTAATATATAGATATATTATACCTTCTGTTTTTCAGTCCAAATAATATCTTTCACTGACACTTTCCGGCTAAATCCACAGTAAGAACAGTTGATAACTTCCTCTTTCATATCGGACTCTGCTATAAAATGGGTGAGAGAGATATTTGATTTTCCAAAAACTCTTTTCTCGCACATGTATCCTACCTCATATACGCAGTTAACCAACTTTTCTATCAGCCCTTCAATTAAATTTGTAACTTTCCCACGAATACCTAAATAATCAGCGCTTTCTGAATCTGGAAGATCGAGGTATTGGATAAGTATCATATTGTTACTGTGCATGCCTATTAGAACTTTGCTTTTTTCAATATGGAAAACTGTCGCTGTTTGGTATATACATAGGCTTTTCATTTTTAAAATTGGCCATTTCAATATGTTGCCACAAGCAGCTATTAAGCGATGAAAAAAACCATTTGGTAGGAAATTGAACATGAAACAAAGAAGAGAAGAATTCCTTAAGTTTTGAAATTCTGATGTTGGGAATCTTTGCTTGTTCATACATGGACAGTACCACATGTCGGGCATTGTTGTACTTGTTGATGTGGTTATCTCTGTCAAAACATTTAGTTTTATCATCATAGAAATTATTTCAGTTTTCTTTGCATTGTATTCATCATTTTGTTCACACTTCCTCCAAATTGAAGACAATAGGGAGCTGGTCAAAAGTCCATTGTTATTGAACATCTTCCATTTCTCGTACAAGTCCTGTGGTATATCCCGTTTAGCATGATTTTCATCCGTGATAACATTTTTGAATGCGTGAACAAACCACTGTACATCTATAATGACAAAATCTCTGAGATTCTCTTCGTCAAAGAATAGAACGACCCCTATATTGTGCAGAAAGAGAAGCGGTGTTTTAAGATCATCTTTCCTTTCAATTCCAACCGTATTTGTTCTACAATTTATTAATAATTCATCTGTCTTGATTATCTTCAAACTTGAGAGCGTCCTTACTAAATTTTCTACATTGAACCATGACAAAGGAATCCGTGTTCCCCAGTTCGGTAGTGTCTGAACAACTCTTACTATCCCATGCCGAATTTCTTCGAGATCTTTATTTTGACCATAATAACTAGTGCAAAATGCATTGTTATAATCGATGTGGACACTCATTTTCGGAAATTTGTCCCTGAGATCCTGAAAATATGCTTCAACTTCCTAGAAATAAACGATTTATATTCAATTGATAATACATATTTCGTTTTTAATTCCTGTATGATTAATGAGCAAAATGAAACCTTAAGATATATTGAAAATCAATTATTTTGATTTATTGTAATGTATGTTGTTTAACATGTATCTCCCTTTCGAGCATTTTACACTCATACAGAGATGCTTCCATAAACCAGCAAAAGGCTTCAAATTCAAACCTTTTCTCGACACCCAGGGCCATTGAGCTGTGGCAACGCCTTTTGTGACACGGATGTTAGTTTTTATGGCATTATCAAAGATGTCACATCATTCACTTTTAAGGGACGAGCGTCTCTCGAAGAAACAGTTGCTACCTATTTTTTATCACTTTAGGTCAATCGCTGCCGGATTTGAAATTCACAACCTTCCTAACACGGAGAGAGCAATCTGCTAACATAACAGAGTCATCTTGCCATCTTGACAGTTTATATTTTCAATGATAAATACGTGTAAAGCATTAGGTCAGTTGTTAATCAGGTTAAAGACATCTACCAAAAAGTAAACCAGGGTCCGTTTTTGAAAAGAACTTGCAAATTGTGACAAAATCCAATTCTTTATATTACTTTTCAATTAACATTATATTTAAATTTATTTTGATCATTTCGAAAGGAATGTGGTTAAATTTTTTTTTACAAACAATTTTAAACTGAATTATTAATTTTGCTATTTTTTTTTTAAAATCACCTGAAATTTTGGTATTAGTCGTAAAAAGGCCCTTAACTTTTAAAAGTTACCTTTAGTATCTTTTTTATTTCAAAAATGTTCTTCTTAGAAGTTTTATGATCATTTCATTTTTGTTTTGGTCTTGTTTTCTTTAAATAAACTTCATATACCTTTTCAGTTTTTTCTTCTGCATGAGTAGCTACAAGAATCAGAGGTGCCAGTGTAGAAAGTTTGTTGTCTTCTTTCATTGCAGCAGGTACTCCAGCAGAATGTGATAAAATGGACTGAAGCCAATATTTTATATACTCTACAAATTAAGGAAACCCTTTTCACATCGGAAAAAATATATCGTTTGAAGTGTTACATTTAAATTTATTCCGTTTTACCGTTTGGAAATCATTTCAGACTCTAAAAACTTGTTTGAATCTAAAACGTATTTAAAAATCGACCTGGTAAATTTGATGTTTAAAATATTTCATATTAGTCTACAATGCAAGTAAAGAAGAAATACAATTAACTAACCTAAATAGGTCCAATTGTAAAACATAGATCCTTCCATCTTAGACCGTCCATCACTCATATATTCAGGTGATCCACCAAGATGGAGAATTGCACCTGTTTCGGCTGTACTTACTCTAGCATCCAATCTCTTTGTAATGTCCATTACTAAAATGTAGAAATCATTAGGAGAAAAATAAAGGTGATGGCAGGCATAATATGCAAACTGTCCAGCAAAGTCAAAGATTGTAACTATTTTGTTATTTGCGTTTTCAAAAGACTCTGACAATGTTCGAGAGAAGGAATATTTTCGGACGATATTGATTTCATCAGAAGTTGTGACATTGGAGTCCACTGATGGTGAATCATCGGTCAGTATCTTGTCTTCGTCTGTTACATCCATGTAAACATTTTCGCTAGAATTCTCATTCCCAATAACTTCTATTTGATTTGTTATCTCTGCAACCTGTTGATCATTTTTTTCTGCTAAGGTTTGAAGTATTTTTGTCGAAAATTTATCTCCTTCTATATTTTTGTTCTCGAAACTTTTAACAGATAGCTGATTTGCATCATCGCTTTCGGCATTATTTTTATCTTCAGGTCGATCTTCTTGACTTAAATTTGAACGGAGGGTTGCTTTATTTGGATTGGTTGTCACTGAAATCACAATAAAAATTATGCTGAAATAAACGTCGTTTTATCGTTAAAGTCAAAACACTGTTTGAAAACAAATTAATAAAAACCTTTAAATAAGCATTGCTTATCTAGATAATATGGGTTGGTTTAAACCAATTCCATATTTTATGAAGACTTAACTTCCCTTTTTATCATTATAAATGTTTTCCATTTTTATGACGCTATTACCATTGCACAGAAACAGCGCTGTTATATGTACTAAGATTATATTAGATCCCCCCCAAAAATAATCTGACCTTCAAGTTTTTCTCCGTGTACAGTGAATACATTAGCATGGACATCTATTCCTCTTGTTGATGAAGGATACGGGTTATCTTTTCCAGTAAGCCTGCACAGAAGGCTCGTTTTTCCTGCCCCCTCACACCCAACCAGCATTCCTCTAGCAACATATACCTTATGATCACCTTTAGAAAGATCTTCAAGATATTTGGATATACCCTTGCTTCCTAAGCCTACAATCCCCTGTGGAATATTCACTGTAAAAATACAAAGTATATTAGAAACTAAGTCACTACTTTTCTTTTGAAAATAAAACTGTTAATTAAAGATTATTGTACAAACACTGCATGCTGACAGACACATTGTCAATTTTATCACGTTTATGAATATGGAAGGAAATAAGTAAAATAAAAAATCTACATTAGCATCATCGTTTGAATTGTATCTATACAGTATACAATTGCAACGGTGGTATTGGCAGATAGTATATGTACTGTTGTCAGAGAAATAATCATAAGAAAAGATCTGCTTGCATCTTGTTATCTATTGTGAGAAACCCCCAAGCAGGCGTGTAGCATCAAGGGGATGAGAACTTTGCTCCACTTTTTCCCATATATGTTTTTCTGAGGCAAATATTTGACTCGTCAATTTTGTTTTTAGGCAAGTTGATTTTTCTCTTCGATTGCCTCCTCCGCCTTGCTTTTTAAACACGATGCTACATTACTGCACAAGAAATCTCGTCATTTTACTTACTGTATCATCTAGGCAAATTTGGTAATATAACGATGTTTCATATGCAATTTCGTCAATTAAATACACTCAATCAGGAAATTGAACATCTTCATTCTGAACACAAGTTTTCTGTTTGCATCAGTTTGTTAACTACAAAAATATCTTTGTGTAACATTCATACTTAACGTTTTTTTGTTGGTTTGTCATCGCAGCAGCCAATAAAATGACCCCAAATATTATAATTACTACATATGACGACATAACAGCCGATTTTGCCTACGGGTGGTTATTTAAAAAACGAGTTCACCCATTTGATTCAGATTATTGTTGTACTTTTTTAAGCCTTATATGCAGAGAACCAATTTCTACTTAGAAAGAAATACCTATTTTTATAACAAAATCTTGTAAATCATGTAATTGCATAACAAGTGGAGCATTCGAAGTGCTGATAATTTCCAGCGTACAACTTACAAACTTCTTCAATGATTGGATAAAACGCTTTGTCCTTAATTGTAAAATGAGTCAGGATATCAAACTTGAGTCGCTGTACAACAACCCTGAATTGCTCAAGACTGACGATGCAGCAGGTTTCATCTTGATCATTGCTGTATTCTGGCGATCGACAATAAATTCCTATGTTTTGTGAACAAGCGTGCTGAAGATAAAAATCTACAAAACCATTCATCTGTAGAAAACGTTTAAATATTTTATCAGGGGACTGTAAACCATACTCATTGTTTTTACAATAAATATGATCCTTTAATTTTCCATTTGAAATTGCGGCAAACACGCGTTCTGTAATATCTTTTTCGTCATCTGCACAGCAAAATTTCCAGCACAATTTAAGCTTTTCTTCCCACTCATCTGGTTCGTTTCTACGAGCTCTACACTTATTTAGAAGCAAACAGCAGAGCAGGAAACTTTGACATGCCTTCGAGCTGCACTGTATTTCATCTGCAAAATAATGTTCTTGATCACAATATGCAATCTGCCAAAAGTTTTTTTTTCTGAGAAAATTCTAAAATACAGCGCTTTGAATTAATATTGTATTACATGTATATCATTTCCTAAGTCTCGAAGAATATAATACCATAGCCATATCTAACTTTTTAAACATTGTTCTTTTCATTTTTTAAAAAAATTTTCTTTTCTAATTTTTAAGTATTATATTTATTGTATAATACTGATCATAAATCGTACCTTACATTTTTCTTTTATCCAATGCACGATACTTTTTCGGTTTCTAAATAGAATGTTTTGATGGATCGTTTGTTACACGGCTCAGATGAATATTTTGACTAACCTTCTGGATCGGTATGCAAATTAACGAAGTTGGATCTTGACATGAAAAGTCTTAAACTTATTGACAACTTGAAGTTTATTTTTAGTTTCTACACAAAAAAATTAAACTGAAAAAATCTTAACAAAAAATAATAGCCAATATGCTTCTGTTGGCGCTACAGTACATTTAATATTTGTTAACTTAATTCCATTAAAGGAACAAAAAAAAATTAGAGTACCTAAGATGTAGTGAATTGTCATTTCACCAAACATATTTCGAACAGTGCATTCGTATGTGCCTAAATTATCGTCTTTGATGGAACGAATTCTTAGACAGGAATCATCCATTGTTCCACCAGAATAATTTTCAGACTCGTCGGACAATATAAGATCATGTTCATTTATTTTCCAACTCATGGATGTCAATGGTTTACAATCTTCAGATACATACGCTTCGTACTCGAGTACGACCTCTTTTTCATCAATTCTAATTTGTCTCCGAGTTATGCTTGGGGCTTCTAAATAGAAAAAAATACATGTGTATTAACTACAATGTGGTTCATCAGGAAAATCAGAATGGAAATATTTTTGTATCGAATGGGGATAGAAACATTATTCAAGAGGTGATTAACAGTTCTGAGAAAAATAACACTTATATTCATTATAACTATAGTCCCAGAGAAACGCAAAAAGTTTCTATATTTGTTTGTTTTTACTAAAAATACAGTCAAAAAGTGGAATGCACTATAGTTATGATATTTTGAATAATACCTCGTAGTTGGAATATTTTAAACTGTTATTTTCTTGTATTCAAAACATTAAAAATCATAGTAACAACGACTACGTCAAATTGTAGTTCGTAGTAAATGTTAACTTATTTTAGGAATCGTGCTTTTTTTCAAAATTCATCATGAGCTGTATTCGATACTGCTTTCTCCTTTTTTTTTTAGTTACCGATACATCCATTTGAACACACATTTAAAAGTTAGGACAAGATCAAGAAATTTATTTAAGGAATGTAGCTAATTTCAACTTATGTTATACGATATAACATAATTTGGGCAGTTTACGCTTTATAAACCGCGAAGCGGTTTATAAAAAAGCGTAAACTGCCCCAAGTTTTGTTATATCGTATAACATAAGTTGAAATTAGCTTCATTCCTTATAATTTAATTTCAATATAGAAAATGAGACAATTTTTCCTCCAGAATAAGGCTTCAAATTGAGCATTATTTTAAAAGTAACGTCAAGCGGAGTAAAACGTTTTTGACGTAACTCATTGTGACGTAGGCAAGTTATGTTATCCAAAATATTATATGTTCCTCTGAATGATTCAGCCAATGAAATAGCTTGATACAAGTGAAATTAAATTATTTTGATTTATTATTTCCAACCACTTTCATGAACCTAAATGACAGTTAAAGAGGTCTTAGTTTGCAAAGTCAAGGTCTTTACTTATCAATTTGTCATCGTTATTGTTAGTCTATCAAAAGTCTCACCCATCTTTTATCAATCCAGCCATCTTTGAAAACTGTAAAACATAGGTTTGATAAATTTGTGTTCTTGTTGCCTTCTCTTTTCTTATAGCAAAAACGGTATACCCCGCTAAACACAGAATTGAGAGGTAATCTTATACAAACCTGGAATCAACAGAAAGTTCTATATTCCCTTTACAAATATTTTTAATAAGGGCGTCCCCTTGCAAAGGGCATGCTTATAAATCAGGCAGCATTTGACATAGATCGCGCTTAAAAATAACGTCATTTCTGTTTTGCATAGTGCATACTTACATGTAACACATACCCACACCGATGAACATAAATTTGTACACACGTCCCCTTTAACTCCATTACGGAGGGAATAATCAAATAATTTTTGTCCTTCGGAAATCACTTGAAATGCATCTATTAGGTAATGCTTTTATTTTTACTTAATCGAGTAATGACGTAAAATTTTAACACATGCCTTTATACGAGGGCTGTTCAAAAATTACGCGGACTGTGCTATTCTTTACTCTTACAGACGTCATACAGTTATGAAATTTCACAGAAATGTGTATCTTGAAGATTCAAATAAATGTTGGGCAAAATTTCTCTATTTTAAAAAAATTCTACTAAAATTATCGGTATTTTGATATCGCTGACGGAGAAGTACGGAGCACGACATAAAATTGAAGCAAAAACATGCGTAATCCAAAATTTAAACTCAATAATTTTCTATAATTTGCTATATTTTTCGAAAATTTTTTCAAATGTATCTTTAAATTGTTCTACTATTATGTATTTAGATTTCTGATGGGATATTTGAAGTACTAACAGAAATATGGTGATTTTTCTCTGATGCGATTCCCGTGAAAATGACGTCTCCTGAATTGACGGCGCACCACACTTTTCTTAAATTATGTGCAGTGCTCGAGATCTCGCCAATATAGATCTAAAATATGCATAATTAAACATGTCGTAAACTAGAGCATTCTTGACATTCGTCCACAAATAGCAAATTGAAATTTTAGACCGTTAGACCTCTGTAAAAAGGTTATACGGGAGGACGAGTAGAAGATTATCGACGAAAACTTTATCCGAACTGTAAAGAACGTGATTGAGAGTCACCAATATCACACTATATCTCATAAAAACCTGCAGTTTTTGGATTTAAGCTTGACAAGAAATGGTGTTTGGATGTTGAGTAGATAAAGTAACTCAAACTGTACAGGTACTCTTGGGAAAATGTTCAGAAAATAAAATTTCAATCACATATTTTTTTAATAATGCCTGTGACGTCAAAGATTTTGTTGCTCTGTGACTTAATGATATGTCCTGAAAAATAACTCAAAATTGATACCAATTTACAACATTTTGAAATGAAATTTTGAAGACCATATTTGTAAATACTCTTTAATATTATGTGTGACATTTTGCCCGATTATGTCGTCAAATATTTTTCTGTGCAACAACTCGTAATTTTTGAACGGCCCTCGTATTTTCCATAATTTCCAAATATTTTTTTTAGCAAAAGGACATCTAGAAAGGACCCAAGGACCTTTTATCATTAATTTCCAAAGTAATGAAAACAAATTTTTGTAACTATAATATTGTCTATATTAAATCAAACAAATGGAATGCATGGTAAAACTGCACATTGCAATTGTATACTACTAGTATTCAATTATGGACTTCATTGTAGGTCCATATGTGGTTATACATGTAAGGACTCATGTCAATTAATAGTGACCGAAGACACCGAAAGTGATAGCGAATAAGCCTGCGAGTCCGCTTTCATTTTCTGTGTCTGAGGTCAATATCAATTACCATGAGTCCTTATAACCACATATTGACCGTTCACTGAAGTCCATAATAGTTATAAATATAATTATATAACAAGTTTGGCTTTCCAGAAAGCCTGAAATGTCATCTCTTTGGTATCAATAATGTCAAAGAAATAAAACAGAAAGGGAAATATTATAATGCAATGAATATATCGATTATTACACCTGAAGTTCCCAAATGTAATACAATATTATTTAGTATGATTAAAGTAATAAATTTCCTGCAAAAAATCACCCAGAAAAATCATCCAATTTTTCTTTTCATCCATTCATCCATCAATTTGGTTCATTTTATTTATTAATCCATACCTATTAAACGTCTTCTTACAATTAAAGCAGCAAAAATGATCATGACAATAATGATGAAAGCACCAGAAACCATTGTCCCAAGAAATATTTCTGAAGAAAAAGTATCATCTTCGGTCATTGTCGGTGTATATGATGTTCTTGTCACATTCCTGAAAAAAGAGAGTAAAAAAAAAGACAAGATATACACATTATTCTGATCATTAATTAAAAAAAAATAGAATTAAAATTCCGGTTCTTACCCCGGGGTTGGACAGTTTTGGTCAGCCAAGTAACATCCTTCCAACTTATTTAGCTTTAGACATTCCTGATCTGGAAGAAATGAATAGAAGAGAAATTCTAGGCCCATTTATTTACTTCAAAAGAATATATGATGCCCCAATTGTATACCGCTTAATACACCTATACATTTTGTGTAATATAAGCTGAAACTGTAATAGAGAGTAAAATTGAGTACTAGTGTACACCAATGCTGTGAAGAAATGCTTATAGAACCTGATTGGCTGATCTGATTCATTATCAAATCAAACTTTTTTTTAAAAAAAATATACTCAAAAGGTATGCACAGTTAAACGAAATGCCTTAGGGGTATAATAGTCACGTGGGTATAATATATCAGAGCAAACGGATCTGTATGAGAGAAAGAATGAAAGAAGACAAAATGTGTCGCCCAAGAGCAAGAGAAATGGTAACCCTGAGCCCGGTGACAGTAATTTGTCTGTTTAATTCTGAAGAACAGAGAGGGTGATTTAAAAAAATATATATATATATACAAATAAATAGAAGTAGACAAGAAATTTTTAATGGAAATAGTTATTTCCACTATGTCATCACATCCTCACTATAACTTGAGGAGCCCTGGCCCTGAGAAAATGAAATTTCAATTTTGGTAAAAGTTACACATGGCAAAAATTCAACTACTTTGCTGCTTTGTATCTAACAGGAAAAGTTTTTAAAGGTTGGATTAATTAGGTGTGGTTTGAACCCCGCCCATCAGGTCCCAGGTGGCATGGACCTTAAAAATGTCGTTTACTGATTTTTACTTGAAAATTAAAATAAGAACATGACTATATAGTCTTCAACTTATTTCAATTTTCGAATTAAAATCAGTAAACAGCAATACAGACTAGACATTTAGACATTCTGTTTTTGACAAACTCTTTAATTTTTTTTCAATACGTTTATCATGTAAATTTTAAGACATTTAATATATCAATATCACTTAAATTTATACAAACATTTATAGAGTTCGTTGCTTCTGTAAGTAGTGTTTGGACATCCCTCTGTGAATCCAGAACATTTGTAAGTATCCGTGAAATGAGAATCCGATATGATCCAACAAAACCCTTTAATATAAGCAATAGCATTTAAACAACAAAAATCTCGAAGATGAGATAGCTATTTTTGCATTCTAATGAAATCTTAAATCAATCTAAGGCTTAAAATTAAATTTTTTTACGAAATCGATTGATTGATTGATTGTATACTGATTAGCGCCCCTATCAAGAATTTTTCACTCATATGGAGACACCACCACTTGCCGGTGGGAAGCTGCAAATGTTGTCCTATTACTCGGCATTCAGGGTCATTGAGCAGGGAGGGATCTTTTTCGTGCCAGCACCTACTGCGACACGGGACCTCGATTCATACGGTCTCATCTGAAGGACAGGTCTCCACGTCCCACTGTGGGATTCGAACACGAGATTGACTCCTTACTTCGCGACAATAGAGCAGGCACTCTAACCACTGCGACACGCGGGCGACTCTACGAAATCGAAAAAAAAAACATCTTAGAACAGGTATGAACTCCCTGTTGTTGTGAGTACACGTATGTTTCTAATTCCCCGACAGGGCAGGGTAAACTTTACCCGTTTTCTGTTTGTGCGTCACACCAACATCTTGAGAACAATGCATCGTATTGATTCAATGATTTCAATATATATTGCATGTCACTTTGATGTTGTCTATAAAGTATTTCTTACAAACAAAAACGTCTGAAATATGAGTCCTTAGACAAATTGCCCAAGTGTTATTGCTTAAGTCAAAGTTTTTTCTAAATTATTTAAAATTCTTCATTGACAAGGTCAAAATATTTGGTACCCAAGAGACGGACTTTGACAAGAAAAAGGCATTATATAATAAAGGCTTTCAAAATTTAAAAGCCCAAAATCCAAACATTCAAAAGTTATTGTCAATTTAAGAAGTTTTTTTTTCCAAAAACATCAAATTCAAAAGTCAAGGTCATGAAGTCAAAAAAGAATTCCATTTAAGGAAAGATTACACATAAACTACATAAAAAAGCCCGAACACTTACTGTTTAAACGTTTTGAAATGAAGATTTGGTTATAAGTTTGGCAAATGAAGATTTGGTTATAAGTTTGGCAATAATGGGTTAACTCCAAGGTCAAGGTATACAACTTAAACTTTTACTACCCTTAGAAAGGAATATACATGTGAAAAAGCTTTAACCAATCATACATGTGAAAATTAAAATACATTGAATTTTCGTTTTTCGTTTTTTAGGAAAAAAGAACATATATATGTATTTCATATTGACTTCTGGAATACATTTTCATTTTTTCTTGACAAAGTCTGATAAATGCGATTTATGTTCATAAATAATTTTATGCCCATTTCTTGTGTATTGAAAGTGGGACAAGCGAGATAACTCTAATATCTTTGTGCGTACTTGTTTTTGGAACAGCCTCAGTATCAGATTGAGTTCAATCAGTGGCGGCGCCATATTTGTATGGAAATACAATTTTAATTTTGAAAAAAATCAAGTCACTGTTTTCATCAGAGCAATGGGACAATTCTGACTCATTACAGTTGTATACGGATGCAAGTAACATTGGTTTCTGTGGTTATTCACGAAATCAGTATTTTAGTGGTAAATGGACTAAAACCTGGAAAACCTATCATATTACAATAAAAGGAGTTATTTCCCATTGTACTTAAAGTTCAGCTTTGGGCAGATCAGTTAGAAAATTGATGTATTATTCTTAATTTTTTTTCATGGATAATGATGCTGTTGTGCACATCATCAACAAACAAACCTAAGTCAATTATGGTTCTTGTTTGTCATTTAGTAGTGCAATGTTTAAAACACAATATTTTATTTCAAGAAGACATGTACCGGGTTTAGATAATGATTTAGCTGATCATCTTTCTCGCCAGCAGATTCCACAGCCCCTACAAAAATTTTCCCACAACAACCCTGTAGCATGCCATAACAATGAGGACAATATCAAAGTTTAAAATCAATAGCTTCAGACCTAATAAATCAGTCATTAGCACCACCAACTCATAATACTTATCAAAGGGCAATTGAATATTATCATCGTTTGGTGTCAACATTTTGCTTTGCCAAGGAAAGGTGTACCAGCAAAAGCAGAATATATCATTTTGTTTATAGCTTATTGTGCTGGCAACCAATGTTAAGTATTCAACATAAGATAAGGAATATGAAAGGCCAAACTTTTAGTGAAAAAATGTTTACAAGGTTACAAGAATAAGACAAGCTTAGTGGAATCTAGCTTACCTATAACACCAATCATTCTTAAACAGCTGATAGCTTCTTTACAATATACAACAAGTTTAGATTTTGTACAGGTACTTATGAAAAGTGTGTATTTAGTGGCATTTCACTGTTTTCGGGATTACTGCTGATGACAGTCATTTCTACCTGTCATTGGCAGTAAGTGGCATTTTTACCTTACCCCACCTTTGATGTAAACATTTTATATAGTAATGTTTTGATCTATTTGGAAGTTGCATGTAGTGATATTGGTATCACTGCAAGGTTTATTAATGTAAATCTATTAAACTACTTTTTCATTTTTGTAATAGTTTTTACAAAATTGTCATTTAATAATAAATGACCTTTTTCAACTTCAAACAGTGTTGTGTTGTTATCAGATAGTGTAATATTACATCAAACAGAGCAACCTTTAGTGCGAGTATCAGGAAGATGGGCATAAATGCGATTTATGTTCATAAATAATTTTATGCCCATTTCTTGTGTATTGAAAGTGGGACAAGCGAGATAACTCTAATATCTTTGTGCGTACTTGTTTTTGGAACAGCCTCAGTATCAGATTGAGTTCAATCAGTGGCGGCGCCATATTTGTATGGAAATACAATTTTAATTTTGAAACAACCCTCCCACCTCTCCCTAATAGTTAAAAATTTATAGTGTTCTCAATTGATGGGAGTAATTTAACAATATTTTTCCATGTTTCTGTTTTCAGTAGGTGTGGCATTTTTACCTTACCCCACCTTTGATGTAAACATTTTATATAGTGATGTTTTGATCTATTTGGAAGTTGCATGTAGTGATATTGGTATCACTGCAAGGTTTATTAATGTAAATCTATTAAACTACTTTTTCATTTTTGTAATAGTTTTTACAAAATTGTCATTTAATAATAAATGGCCTTTTTCAACTTCAAACAGTGTTGTGTTGTTATCAGATAGTGTAATATTACATCAAACAGAGCAACCTTTAGTGCGAGTATCAGGAAGATGGGCATAAATGAACTTTTATACTTTATATACAATTAGTGTCCTTTTAGAAAATACCTTTCTCGACGAAAGTAGGTGGCTGGTGATAACAGTATTCCAGTAAAGCTGTTAGGTTTTCATTGGGAGTACACTGGTATCTGTCTGGATTAGTGCAGTTTAAGTCTCGTGATGCCTTCTCCCATTGTGATTGGTCTGTTGGGCAAATTTCAACTTCTTTTATTTGAAGCGTTCTTGATTCATTCTGTTAATGTATGTTCAATTCAATTTTTAATTAAAAAACAACCAACTATACATAATCAAAATAATCTAGAGAAGAACAGAATTAAGTGAAGGTACATATATTTTATCAAAACATGTCATAAAGATTGGGCATGCCTTTACTTTTTTTCAAGTAGCTTGTAATATATAAAGTTCTCGGGAAAATAAAACAATAATTAGTGAAGCTCATTTAACTGAATTATCATCTGCCATAACTTGCTCCAGTTCATCATGATGTCTAAAAAAACTAAGCAAAGGATGACCCTCTGCAATTTATTAAACTCAAAGGTGATTTGAAGCCTACTAAATGGCAAAGTTTTGTAACTTTTGAAAGTGAGCTTTCTAGGCCTTTCAGAATGTTGTACATATGTACGTTTGACTTGTGAAAATAAAAAAAAATCGCATTTATTCAATAAGTCTCAATTTTCAAGAATAAAGTGTGCTAATCCAGGTGCTTGTGAAACAGTGATGTTCTGGGATTGTACATCATTGAAAAGTTAAAAAATTCTCAATTTTAAGTCAAACTACACGTTTAAGGGTTTAAACGTAGTCAAACTTAAAGGTTAAAAAATATATATATCTAAAGGAGTATATATGGATAAGAACCAAACTTGGCCCCCTAAAAATCAACATTTTAGAATGACATTCAGATATGTTTAATTGATATATTTTGAAGAAGAGATTATATTTAAAACATTTTAAATATATTTTTGACATTTATATGCTCTCTAGCTGTATATGACATGAGAAATAATGCTATTTTTGCTATATAATAAAAAGCCAAAAATATGCCTTTTTTCTTGATGTTTTTTTCTTACGGGAAACATAGAGCTCAGTGTAGAACATACATAATTTTCTGTCACTAATTAGTATTAGATAAATGCATCTTTGGTAAAATATAAAGCTTGTTCTAGGTTGCGCTCTATATTTTCTGGAAGAAAAACTGCTTGAAAATAAGCTGTTTTATACAAAATATGCTAAAATGGCGGGAAAACGTGATTTTTATGATGTAATATTTCTTAAATAACGGCATTTTGATCAAAATGAAAATGACCAAAAAAGGTTGCTTATATAGCTGTACAAATTAAAGCTATATATAAAGTAAAATTCAGATAGTAATTTTAAGAGGCCAATTGAGACACTGAGCTCTTTATGTCTAAGACATTAACAGATATACACTGCATGATCCAAAATGTACGAATATTTGACACAGCGATAAGAAAGTAAGACATAATTCATAAGATGAAAATAAAGATATCTGTACACTGCCAGCCTACATTGGCACGGATATGCTAAAGGAGCTTGTACATCGTTTAAAAATAAATGCAGACAATATCGCAAAACTAAAGGACGCAGATTAAGAACAGGAAATAGTGAGGCATACATTTCAATGGTAAGAATGACGCTGGTGTCCTTAAGGTATATAAGAGTTTGCACAATAGCTAGGTGTTTTTACTTTTGATAATCTTGTTGATTATCAGTAGATAACTCAACTTTTCGAAAAACTCCGATTTGTGACAGATGAACGAACGTTGCAGAAACCCGAGGTACACTTTTAAACAAATGAAAAATCCTCTGTACAAGTGGATGATTGAGTGATTTTCAGTTTGATTCTATTCATTTGAGTTCCTCAGGAATTCAAAAACATAATTAAACAATTGAGTTTCACATAGCATATATTTTCAATGAAAAAAATCCTAAATACGTTATCAAAAATTTTAAAATATAGACGAAAACAGATTTGAAACAAAAACTTTTGATATATGTATTCTGAATATGCAATTGCAACAGAATTAAAATGAAACTCACACATATATATATATGTAAGTGTCTTCACTGTAGTCAAGTACATTTCTTTTACAACACAAGTCAGTCAAGAGCCTTACTTCAGACATATTAGGCAAAAAAATCAATAATAGTAAACAGCAGGAAATGTTGTGTGCCACATATTATATTGTTGATTATGTAAACATCCGATGAATTTAATTATAATGACAACTTGGAAGATATTAAATGCAGATGTATAGCTCTCTGGTTTGAAAATAATTAAAACGGACGTCCAGATAGCTACAGAGACACCAATTAAAAAAAGACTAATTTTGTTGTGCATAAAAAGGTGTATTGTTCTCTGTTTATTTATTTTGCCATCTCAAAGCATATTGTTGTTATTTATACTTTTACAAGAAAAAATTTTTTTCAAACCGTTATTCATGTTATTTAAAACCAAATTTGGATTAAATTTGAGAAATTTGAGAAATCGAAATTTTGCCTATATATATTGTCATATATTAGGATGCAGTCGTTGAAGATAAATCGGTCTAGTGCGGTTTGCGCATGATTTGTACATACAATTTTGTTTCGAATTGGTAAAAGGATATGCTATAAACATAAGATTAGTATTTTTTTGAAAATATTACATTTCTTTTTGTTTTCTCTTTGTGATATGACATGCATACATTAAAAAAATTAATGAGTTTACCGGTCGCATAATTGACTTAAATTCGTATACATACACCACGCATACAAAATGTTGCATGTATTCCCTATGCACAACATTGACTTTTCGTCAATATCTTTGAATACAAACTGTGTTGTCTTTAGACAAATTTTACAGCCGTTTATATAGTTAACATGTATTTAACAATATTATAAAAGTGAAGATAAGAAAAAGCTGTGATCTGATATTTGATCATAAACACACCGTAGCGTCAATCGTGCACCGATCCTCGATATTGTTTTGAGTTGTTAGTGAATTAGATAAAACTAGAAAGTGTCCAGCTGATTCATAGGTATCCATATATTAATTAGATAATGCTTCTTCCGTAGGTACATGCTTTCTGCCAAAATATTACCGTATTAAAGCTGAGAAAATTGACAAAAAATGTACTTCGTCTTCCTTTCTTTCGCTTCGAAAGCAAACACCTCGTGAACAACATAGTACATGTATACACCCCGCATGTTAGGATATATACGGTGAATAAAAATGAAGTATCTACTATAGTTTTACTCATGCAAAGTTCGAATTTATTAAAAAAAAGATATGAGCAGTTGGTATGAGTTGATTTGCTCTAGTAAGGAAGATTTTGATTGAAATAAATTGCAATTTGTAAATTGAACTGTTTCTCAAATTCCTACTTTAGTTTTGGATAAATAAGAAAGAGAACATACCGGTGTTACTAAGATGTTCCACAGAAACAGAGCAGACCGGCAGTATAGAACAGTCATCCAGGACATTCTTCTTTTGTTTACAACATTTTATATTGTTGAAAGTACAGTTATTTGGCCAGTTCCGAATAAGAAACCCATTCGACGGTGGTACAAATATACTAGGAATTATTTCAAAATCTAAGTGTTTTGTCAAGATAGTTCGATGACTTGTGGAATTACATATTGTTTCATAAAAGTTCAGCCTTCCCTCAAAAAAATTTATTTCGCAAGTTACCATAGGTGTCCATTTTACCAGTTACGAATAAGCCGACGGGTTCCGGATACCCTAGAGATTCTTATTCAATTCAATCCTAAATTAAAAAATATACGTCCCAGACGTTATCCATTGGCATGCCTAAGAAAAGTTAAATTAATTGCTTACCAATAAATTATTTGTATTTCCAAAGGTTGAAGAGAAACTAGAGGTACTGTGGGCACTGAGCTCGTTTTAATGATACCACAAGCCTCCTTTATGATTATTTAAGACAAAGTCCATGTTTTACTCTGGGAGACCCGAAATAAATGCCAGATCAAAAAGTAAAATAATAGGTCACAGTGTCATGTAATGCAATGAAGAATATGTGAATGTATCATTAAATCTTATTCAGTGGTATAGGAGGAATTGCGGACAAGAGATGGATATACCTTTCAATATTACAAAGAATGGCAGTATCTCTGTTTTTCTCAGGGAGACCAAATTATGTACCAGATCCAAAAATAAAATAGGTGCACTTTGGCACTGTTAAACAAAGATTCTGTGAAAGACTTATTAAATTCTGTGAAGCATCATTAAACTTCATTCAGTGGTAGAAGAGGGGTTGCGGATAAGAAATGGATACCCCAGAGCATATCAGACGGACGGACGTACAGCTGGACGGACGGACGGACGTACAGACGGACGGATGGACAAACATCCCATAACTATATACCGCTTCTTCCTGTTTTTCAAGCGGGGGTAGAATAAGTCACGTTTACAATGAAGAAAACATCGAAGAGTGAATTTATAATAGTGTTTAAAATGGATATTCGGAACTGGTAAAATAAGAGCACGAAAATATTTCGATACTTCAAGTGTTCTAAATACTTATTTTTGACAAGTTTTTAGTATATGTTAGAGTACATATCAAACTTACTTTTGATACCTAAAACGTTGTTTTATGTGAAAAATTTATGCATCTACAGAGGTTTTTCTGCAGACTTACGCGTCGCGGTGATTCAGATTTGTTGCATTGTAAAAGTATGTCGACTGTTTCAAGTACGATAACGAAACCAAACTGAGGGCAAAAAATCAAAACTTCACATAATTCAAACACTCATGAATAAGCCTTCTTACCATAGAAATCAATTTATTTTTACACCGTTGAATTTATTAATTATCAGTCCTTAAATTACTAATTATTCGGAACTGGCCAAAATCCGGAACTGGCCAAACGACTGTACTATAGCTTCATTTTCCTGCAAGGCAAATATGGCGCAGATATTGGCGTATGTTAAGTGCATACTTTCATAACCTTTTTGGCTCAGTTAACATGTAAAACTAGAGGTCAATAACGTAAATGTTATACTACTTCCTTGTATTATACACAAAAAAAACCTTGAAAGAAAATAAAAGTTTTTGTAAATCCGTAACTTGATCTATATAGTGCCCTTACTACCACTTTCGAAATGCAGATTTCTTGCAATAATGAATACTTTATATTAAAATCTAAGAATATTAAAGATAGAGATGCATATATTGTATATTGCAAGTATATGTCCCTATAAAATGTTTTTTGTCGTCTAACGTATATGACAAACTGGGCTTGTATGTTTAACTTTATGGAGTTAAAATAAATGTCTCCATATATTAATTTCTTAAATGCCCTCGTACAGTTAACTCGTGCTCGTGCCAAATTTCACACACATTAATTCAATAACCATATGTTTTGCAACTTGGAAAATCAAATTTTATTTTAGAAATAAAATATGTTGGAAAGGATAATATGTTTAGAAAGAAGTCCGAATATCTGAGTTTTCCATGCTTTTTCACAATTTTGATATTTTACGTGCCAGGAAAACGTCAGAACCGGCGCCATATTGAAAACTGGTAGTTTTGCCGTCTCCAATGGAAATTTATTTTCGATACTTGCGAAACAAACTAAATGCCGACTCATGAGGGCTGTTCAATAAATAATGTCCATGGTGTTTAGAAAGAAACAAAAAAGAATTTTCGATGATTTAGTCTTAATGATTTTCCTTAAAAATTCTCTTTTAATTAAAACACATGTCAGTAACATTTTTATCCAGTTTTTGGTTGTTTTAAGAGCACATGTTTAAGTATGGTCCTTCGTATACTGGAATATGGCAGATCCTATGATTTCCTGGATGTATTTCTTCTTTCAGAATTTTTTTTTCAAGTTTAGAAAATGAAGCAAGTCAAAGGGTGAAAGATCTCGCAAATATTGTTGGTGTGACAATATATCAATTTTCAGTTTATTCTCAAAACTCCTTTACTATTCAGGGTATTTGGGTTTCGACGCTGTCATGAGAAAATTTAATGTAGTGGATTCCTGAGTCAAGTTCCTTCCTGTCATAAACCTTTCGATTTTTGTTTTTGCAAAATTTTTTCTTTCTAGATTCCTCGAGAAAATGAACTGCCTCCCCGAATAAGAGTTTGAACAATACCACTTATGTTTAAGAAATTGGCATATACAATTGTCAAATGTACTCTTACAATTCTTTGCTCTTTTCAGACCTTTGTTGTTTTTGTCAAGTGTATCTTATTGTAAATGTTTTAAGCGTTGAAAGCAATGGATCAATTTTTATTTTCTGTTTGAATATAAGACAAACTACATTATTTTTTTATTTTAAAAAAGATGTGTTTGTGAAACACTGATATCCCCGTATGGCAACAAATTAGCGAAGATTAAACTTTTCTTAAATGCAAACTCATTGGAAATACAGCTCTGAAATACGAAATCAGGCCAGGGTAAAAAATTTTCATCAGTTTGGAAATCTTGGTATCCAATGAAGGGTCTTTCCAAAAGGATTACATATGTATAGTATTAGATCACTAGCCCTTAGCATTCAAAAGTTATGGCTAAAGTTAAAGTTTTTCATAAGTACGAAAACCTCCAAGGTGAAGATCAAAAGGTCAAAGTAATTTGTATCCAATGAAAGGTCTTGCCACAAGGAATACGTATGTAAAGTATGGAAGTCCAAATCCTAAACGTTCAGAGGTTATTGCCACGGTTTAAAAAATTAAGAAGTAGGTCAAACTCCAAGGTCAAGGTCATAGGGTCAAAGGTATTGCTATCAAATGTAAGGTCTTGTCACAAGCATTGAATATGAAAAGTATGAAAGCACTAGTCCTAACCCTATAAAAGTTCTAGTCAAGGTTTGCTTTTTTAAAGTAGGTCAAACTCCAAAGTCAAGGTCAAAGGATCAAAGTTCCGGGTACCCAATGAAGGGTATTCTCACAAGGACTACATATGTCAAGGATGAAAGCCCTATCCCTTACTGTTCAAAAGTTATGGCCAAGGTTAAAGTGTTTTATAAGTATGAAAATCTCTAAGGTCAAGGTCAAAAGGTCAAAGTTGTTGGCATCCAATGAAAGGTCTTTCCAAAAACAATACATATGTGAAGTATAAATGTCCTAATATCTATTGTACAAAAGATATGACCAATGTAAAAGTTTGGAATTTTTGTGTAAAGTGGGTCAAACTCCAAGGTCAAGGTCAAATGGTCAAATATGGTGGTACCCAAAGAAAGGTCTTATCACAAGAAATACTCATGTGAAATATGAAAGTCATACCTCCACTAAATCGAAAATTATGAGCAAGGTTAAAGTTTTTGCGAACAAACAGACAAACAGAGAGACAGAGAGACAGACAGGGAGACAGACAGCTAGACAGACAGACAGACTGACAGACACGACAAAAACTATATTTCCCCAAAACTTCGTTTAAGGGGGCATAAAAATAATTATTTAGATATTTTCACATGCTTTTGATCTCACTCATTTTTCAAAACATAGGGTGACCATTAAGTATTTAGATTTTTTGACTGCCAAATGTTCCTTTAAAACAGTTTTCATCTATTCCCGAAATGCTGCATATCAAATTTGCCATGTGTATGAATGTCAATCAAACATAATCGGTAATAATTTGTTGAATTTCTGAAAACAGTACATTGGTTGTTGTAGTACTTGTCGCCAAGGACAGTACCCATATTTGATGCCCATATATCATTTTTGTTAAATGAAATCCACCTGGTCATGTGTCTATAAAACAGATCGACATTGCTGCTGAATATTTCTTTTTGATTCTTAACAAGTTTTACAACAGCTCTTATGACGTGTTTTAAAAGATTGTGAATAGAATTACTATTTTTAAATGAAAAGGTCGTATTTACTCTGGACATTGATAGTAAAAGAACAAAATACACTTAAAAAAGTATTTTGGCCTAGGAAAATTGAGAAAAATGAAGTAGCAGCAAATCTGTCTTTACCCTTCGAAGTTATTTTGAGACAACCCCCTTGCTTAAAACATGCATGGGAAATGGCGCCAAAACGTCACATATCAAAATTATAAATTCCAAACTTTACCCGGATTTCAATTTTTGGCAAAAAACTATGAATTTTTATGCACATATGTACATATTTTGATATGAGCACAGGCAACGCGATGGATAATATTTGTATATGTCAAAGCAATTGCTATGACTAGCCGAAAAAAACCCTATTTCGTCAATCGCGTTTTGTGTGCTCATACTTAAATTTAAACACTTTGCATTTCCGGAATATTCCCATGACCTACATTTTTAATGTAAAATCACTAGAATATGTAACAAAGATACCTGCAACGTTGTCTTTTATCCAAAAGTACATATGTAACAATTATTTAAATTCTGAAAATATATAATTAAATATATTTAATCATTATAATTCGGATTTTTGAATTTCGTTCGGCGGTTTCTGGACAAAAAGTTCAAGCGTACCAGACGACAAGTTCGACAAATGAAATGTTAAAATGTGACAGATGGTGAATGCAGACTACACCTGATGTGATTGCATTATTAAGACTGTCGGTGGACTCGGCACAACTGCTATCAATATGTGTTTGATTAGGTAAGGATCGATTGACAATTTCTTGAAAACCATAGGCTATTATATGCATACTAGTCCGACATTCCTCTGACTCAAACCCCTCCTTTTATCTGTTATGTTTTGGCATGTGCGGGGTTTCATTAGGCTAAAACAGAACAAATAAAAAAATATATGAATTATCATTGCATCAACTCTAGCAGTCAAATATTTAAACGCATGAAACGTGTGTGGTACTTGTATAGTCCTACATGTACATTTATGTCAAGCAGCTAGAGGTCGATTTGTAAACATCGATGTAATTATTTGTAATATGCCCTCGAGAATTAGTTCTCGGATATCAAATTATTCGAAACTATATAAAAGTAATAATTTTCAAATATCATTCAAGTCTGTGAGATTTATTTTGCCCCGATACGAAGGATTGATAGGGGGAGCAAGGGGGGGGGGTGTATGGGGTCAGGGTGTCGTACGTATTTGCTACTGTATAAAGATTTGTCATCACATGTATGTCCCCTTCACATAAAAAAAATTCTGAACCAAAGAGAGTCTCTGTATTTGTTAATTGTTGAAATAGTGATGTATTTTTTTTACCTCTATAAAAATTTTTTTGACAACTTCTCATAATCCTGCAAAGTTAAACTATTACCAGCCAGGTAGGTACAAACATACTCAGTATTAAAGGCATATGTGGCATGTTCCTGCTAGGTATAAGGGGAACTGCCCAACCACATATGCAATAACTATAGTAAGACTGTCAACTTTGATCAGAGCAGTTAAATGTATAAGTAAACTGAACTAAGGCATTAGTAATTTCATTAACTTTGTCTTTTCATTCTTGGATGGTAAAATAATAAACTGAGTAGAGTATGTCACATGTACAGTAAAACCAATGTCTGTTCTCCCATTTAAGCCTCTATCTCTCTCTCTCTCTCTCTGTGCAAGATATAAAGTTTTAAGTACATCATGAGGGAGTTAGCAAAATTTCAGATCTCCAAGAGCAGGACTACTAGTATTTCTCGAGATGCATCTAATTAAGGGAAATAGTCCTGGTCACGGAGAACTCGAATCTTCATATTTCTTTGATATACTTTTTAACTGTTTTTATTTTATTATTTCAATTCCAAAACAAAAAGAAATACCTGGTACCTAGAGGATTAGGGATAACTGGGGTTAGCTTCCAAAGCAGGGATTAGCTCATTTTACTAAAACATGGGGATAAGTCCATTCACTGTGTACTTGTAGGTAATTTTTCACATTTAACAACCTTATTTTTATACAGGCAGTGAAAAATCAGTAGAGTTATTGATAAAGAATGTTAAAGTGTTATTGTACCAGAGTAACCAGATAATTTGAGAAAAATGTTTTAGATCACCTGAACTTATGAATGAAGTGAGATTTTTGGGATTTTGGTCGGTATGTTTGTTTTTACCCTCTGTTAATTTTTCA